TTCTGTTGCTGTGGTAAAGCACCATGATCAAGGCAGCTTACAGAAGAAGGGTTGATTTCCTGTTCACAGTGCCAGAGGGACAGCAGTCCATCACCACCACAGTGGGAGAGCGTGGCAGCAGGCAGGCATGGCTGAGACAGTGGGCCTCACATCTGGAACCTCCAACAGGAAGCAGAGAGAGCAAACTTGATATGACATGAGCCTTTAAACACTCAAAGCCCACCCCTTGTGACATACTTCCTCCATCAAGGCCACGTCTCTCAAGCATCCCCAAACAGTGCCACCAGCTGGGGACCAAGTATTCAAATGCCTGAGACTATAGGGGGCATCTCATTCAAACTATCACACCCACACACACCTGTAAATCTGCTTACAACGTACACACCCATACACCTGCACACTCACACACCTGTGTACCTGTAAACATGCATATATACGTGCATAGATAGACACATGCCTGCACATGAACACACTTACAAACCTGTATACTTGCACATCTGCCCACAGCTTTGTGCCATCCCGTGCTTCCCATCCTCAGACCCAGTGCCGTCTTCTACTGGATCCCTGAGGTCACTATTCCCCGATCGGGGATGGCTGTTCTTGCCCCTCCTCCTGGCATCTTGCCTCCCACACCAAATTCTGCAGCTTCTGGTGGTCTTTCCCTCTGCATCAGACCCTCCATGCCTTCAGCTTCACTTAGCTGAACCCCTTATGACACCTAAGAAAGTGGTGTGTGGTGACTGGTGTCAGGTGGTCCCTGGAGTCCACAGAGGATGAGCCAGTGTTGTGGCCGCATTGCGAGACCCCTGAGCAAGACCACCACAGAGCCGGTATCGGATGGAAAACACATGGGGTTTATTGATAACAAGCAAGCCCAGGCTTGGTCCGTGTCCAACACTCGACATAGCGGGTGGAGGAGGATGGCCCTGAGCTCTTAGGGTGAGGGTTTTTTAAAGGGAAAAAACACAAGCAGGGTGGTACAAGCCTTTGCATCGTATGATTGGGTGAGGGTGTGTAACCTTTGGATTTACTGGTTGGGGGTTACAGTTATCATTTGGGGGCAGGCCTGGACAAGTCACAGGCTTTGTCCTTGAACTGCCATGGGGACTGGCTGGCCTAGCACGTACTGACTTTGAGGGCTGACTCAGTGGCCCAGGCTCTGTCCTTGAGCTGCCATGGAGGCTGGCTGGCCTCACACATTCACACTGACCCATGCACGTAGCTCTAAACAATTGGCTGAACCTTGAGCGGTCAGAGTACATGCAGAAAGGGAGCTACTGCAAGGACTAAGTCTCTTGTTCATGCCCCTCCCAGAAACTGCTTGCTCAAGTCTCAGGAAACTGAAATTGAGGCTTGATCTCTGAGAGAAGACATAGTGAGGACATCCCCTTCAGGGACATTATTTAGGAAGCACCATTTCTAAATTTTCCCATCCATTCAGCTGTGAAGTGGGACTGTGGTCAGCACCCGCAAATCTTGAAGGCTCCTTGTCTCCACACTGCAAGCCATTTCTTTACCTCCCAATGAATACTAAGAGATGAAAATGATGATAGATCCAAAGCTCCGGCAGAAGGGATCAGAAGACATGGAAAGTGCAAGCCCCTACTCACAGACTGGAGTGTCAGGACAGGTCCCAGTGTCCCGTGTGTGGGTGGAAAGTGACTTTAAAAATACACACAGGGCTGGAGACATGATTCAGTGGTTAAGAGTGCTTGCTGCTCCTCTACAGGACCTGAGTTCCGTCCCCAGCACTCACACTGGGCATTTCACAACCACCTGTAACTTCAGCTCCAGGAGATCTGATGCCCCCTTCTGGACTCTTTAGGCACTTGCACTCACATATGCACATACCCATACACAGACTCACATGTATACATAGTTTTCAAAACTTGAAATAAAATTTCAAAACCTCTTAAAACAATAGAGCAAACATTTTGCCAATCAAAAATACAAAAAAAAAAACTGGACTGTTTACCTAATTAGAGAAAATTAAAATTAAACGGATGCATATGACTTCACCTCCATTCCTTCTATTCCACAGCTGCATGACCCTCAACACCATGGGATGTAATCCGTAAATAGAAGATGCTTGTTACCATGGATTTTTGTTCCCAAGGTCCATCTCCCTCTAACCCTTTGCTTTTTCCCAGACTTAGGCGAAGCCAGTCTAGCTGAGAAATAAGTGGGTTATTTTTAGTCTTTTAATGGCGTTCATGAACTCGCTCCTTTCTTTGGCCCTAAGGCCCAACGGGACCATCAAAGGGATTTTAATACTAGGGTTGAAAAGGGAGAGGGTCCTTGCTGGCCACTTATCTCCTTGATTGCCCCTTTCCAGCTAGAACCCAGGGCACACGAAACAGAAGCCGGGACTCTCGTCTATCGCCGTGCATTTCATTTCAGACTAAATACATTTAAACAGAACTCTCCGGCTCCTCTCCCCGTCAGAGAGGCGGGGCTCAGGCCAGAGGCTCTCTGCAGACCCCGCCTCCCATTCGTCCGTCTGCCAATCACTCAAGCACTGCTTTCAGTTCCACGATCCCAAATGGACAGTGGAGTTTTCCCCGCGTCAGTTTGGGGCTGACTTGCTGAAGAGCAGACACAGCTTCCCGTAGGTCAAGGTCCAAGAAAACTTCCTAGTGGAGACCCAGGCTGGACAGTATTCCTGCCCCGGACCCCACTTTTGAGCAAATCAGATTTACAATGAGGAATTCAGACATGTGGCCTCTGGGGCCAGCAAGAGGCTGAGTGGGGAGAGGTGCTTGTCGCCAAGTCTGATGACTTGAGTTCGATCCTTGATACCGTGTGGTGGAAGAGAGACTGACTCCTGGAAGTCGTCCTCTGCCCTCTACTCATGTGTCCCTGGCACATGCATTCCCCCTTACACACAAATAAAAATAAATAAATAATCTCTTGGATCCCCATATGGAGTAGGAGAATAGGGATCCCTTCCCCTCACTTGTTCTTATCCTGGGGGTGGGTGCGACTCTCAGCTGGTGACAGAAGTGACCCTCACTTCTCGAGGAAGAATATTGCTGTCCCTGCCGTTTCAACTCCCCACATGGTGGAAAGAAATCAGGGAAATGAGCTGAAGAATGTGTTTGCCAGGAAGATATCCCGGGCACCTTTATTTCTCTCTGTTTTTCAATTTTTGTTTTTATTTTTGTATATGCATCTGTATTGGTGTATCCTACACGTCTGTGTGCCCACAGAGACCAGAAGAGTGCATTGATGATTTCTGCAAACCATGGTTTTAAAGGCAATTGCCGACACAGGTTCTTGGGCCAGGGACAGACTTTGCCATTCACCTGAGCCTGACTCGGGAAGGCCTTGCCACCCCACGGGCATGGGGCGTTGATGTCCTTTGACACAGTCCTGCTCACATCAGGAGTATTCAGGATTCCGTGGCTCCCCACGAGTAATGAAAATAGAAGTTGCAGTAGTAGCAACAGCGGCCATAGAGTAGTGTCTGGAGGAGTAGCTGCTGCAGGAGTAATAATAACGGTACCCTCACAGTAGTAACAGTAGTCAAGGAGTAGCAGCAGCAGCAGCTGCAGTCCAGGACAGCCCATGTCCATCGCACAGACACTGAGTGCAGAGCAAATGCTCCCGTGACAACAAGCAAGTTGTCCACCATCCACCCAAGTTCGGCCTGCTCCTCTGTAAAGGGGGAGTGATGGCAGCCACCGCCAACTCCCAGGAGTGCTGGGAGGGCAGAGTGGCTTTCTAGAATGAATGAGCCTCAGCTAAAGCCCAGAGATGGACATCGTGCCTCTAACTGGACGCGTCATGGAGGGTCTCTGCTAGAATCTCGTTCCATAAGCGTATCCACCTTCTGAGGGTAGGAGCTTGGAAGCTATTTCCTCCTCCTCCCTTGTTACGGCCCTCTTCCTCCTCCGCCTTTCCCCTCCCCCTCCCCCCTCCCCTTATTCCTTCCCTTCCCTCTCCCTGTTCCTCCTTTCTCCCCCCCCCTTCCTCCTCCCCTCTCTCTCCTTCTTGTTACTTTTATCTGGTACCTTCTCCAAGGACAATACCTGGTACCAAGTCAGCTGGGGCCAGATGAGACCACAGGTGGGACCAGCGCTGGGGTCTCCTCACTCCGGGTTTCTTCAAGGAAAGCTGCAGCAAAGCCTCCACTCTGCTTGTTTGTTTTCGAAGGCAGAGGTGATTGGCACAGAAAACCAGTGGCATCAATCCATTGCCATATTTTTTCATTGTCCCTCTCTTTTTAGAGTATGTATGCAAAAGTGTGTGCATGTGATTTCATATATGTGCACAAGTGTGTGTGTGTGTGTGTGTGTGTGTGTGTGAGAGAGAGAG